CCCCAAAACCCCAAAACCCCAAAACCCCTTAATGCAAATTTCAATAGCTAAATCGATATTCATGAAGTAAAATTAATATTAAATATTATTCTTTATTAACAGATCATCTAGCCAGCTACTAGCATAAACTATTTTTCAGAGATCGTCAAAATAGTTTGGGGCAAGTGCCATTACGCTGTATCTGGTCTCCTGGGGATCTATATCGATGTATTTTTAGATTATTTTAGAAACTTCAACGCCGAGACTTTGATCTGGCGAAATTCTACCCTTGTTCATCGGTCCATTCATTCTGCCATCAAGTTCCCAGATGTAGCCATCTTTTTCAATATAGCAAACGAAATGGCCGGGTTGTTGAGTGCTATCTGGTGATGGGGGAACTCCCTAATTTCCGAATTCCTGATTGTACTGATGCAGATTGCTGGGTTGACTGCTCTCCTCTGGGTTCAACTCATTAACATTCAAGTAAGCTCCTCTCTCCTCTGGGCTTGATTTCTCATGAAGCTTGATATATTTCTCAAGATAAGAACCTTCTATAGCACCTCCGCATCTCTCAACAGTATTGCCTATAAATAGTTCGATTAATAAGATATTACAGATAGCATGAAGCAAAGAAATAACTCCACAGGCATTAGCAATGTTTTGTTTGATGAAAAACGGGGAGTTCTATGATAGATCATGTTTCTACTCCCATACTTCTTAGGCAATAATGTCTTAATGTTTTTCCTTGATGGAGTAGAGTAATATCACAGCTATTACAGGCTCAGGAAGTGAACTACTCCATATATCTCCATCAAGGGTATAAACATCATGAAACCTATAAAGTAAGGTGGGAAACCCTAAGCGGGCGGCGAAATCTGTAAAGACTTTTGGATTGCCCTCTAAGCACATCCATGAATTCTAAGATTTTTCCATTTTCTAAAAAGTTAGTGTTTTGGTTAGGTAACAAAAATTGATTAGAGAACTTAAAATATTATAATTCTGAGCAAGAGTAATTTTTGATCAGGACTTTTTAAGTTTAAATGAGCCAGCCAATGTAATTAATTTAAGAACTTTATTATAATCCGTTTAAACCCCTTATTAAAGATTCATGGGGTTTTGGGGTTTTGGGGTTTTGGGG